TCCTAGGTCTTGTGGGACCATACAATCCTTCAAATGTTTTAAAGCAAATGGAAAAGAAAGACCAAAAATATCTTTTCTTTTTTAAAAAATCAGATTTGTGTTTTCTCCTTGTTGATGTAGATGTAGCCTGGCTTTAGGAAGGATCAAAAGTGTTTCTAAGTTGAGGGGCTAGTGGGAGGAGGCCAAAAAAAACCCAAAAGAAGTCTTTTCACTGAGCACATTCAATACAGAGATCACTATGAAGTGTAAATATGAAAACTCAAGTTTCTGTCTTTGCAGCAGTATTTGTGGTAGAACTCCCTTTTCAGCTGCAGAGGACGATACTGAAGTGGTACAGAGCAAATTCTGATGCTTTGCTAAGGAGCTGGGTTTCTTTTGTAGCTGTAGAGGCTTGTGCAGATTTTTTTTTTTAATGGTGCTTTTTTTTTAAAACCGTTTTATTTCTTTTTAGAATAGCACTTTATATAGGCAAATGAGAATGTGACCGGGACCTCTGAAAAGGATCACTTATGAAAAGTGCATTAAAGTGATGAGAACAATCAGGAGGAAGTACACAATGGTTTAATGCTGTCTACTTATTTCTCAGAACAAAAGGCATTTATGTGAACCTGTCTTCTTTATTCATTTACTAGGATGCTTCCCACTAATGTAGCTCAATGGTACTACTGCTACTGATACTGTACCTATAAAACTGCTCTGTTCTGGTTTAGAGAAGCACTTGGGTAATTTAAAGTGAAAATTTATGTTGGTTGAGAAAAATAAAAAGATTCATTGAAAGCATATTAATGAAATTGCTCTTTATGTGGCATGTTGTTTTGTTGTTTTTTTGTCCAAAGTTGGTTTATTAACAAATTCAGCTGTGTACAAAACAGATCTCTGTTGTGTTGGGATAACACAGAGCCAGGGAGCAAGAGTGGTGCTAAAGCTTTTGAATCTGATGCTATGGATACAGGTAATAACATTATGTGTGTTCTTGTGCCTCAGGTGCAGAAGAGGAAGGATAGTGGTAATGTGCCAAGCTAGCCAAGCTGTGAAGGGTACTGAGGGAAGAACTAAGTGCCAAGCTACAGGGGATTCTTTGGCATAAGTGCAGTAGACAGATTCAGGCAAATACAAGCTCTGGCTACCTGTAGCTCTATACCTGTAGAGTCTAGGTGTAATGTAGCATTGTGCCTGTGAGAACTGTGCTAGTTCATTTCTGGTACAGTTTAGTATTCCAGATCATAGTTGTCTTTGTGCCTGACTAGCTTGGAGAAGACAAAGAGAAATGTGTGACCATCTTAACTCATCCACCTGCACATAGCCTATGTGAAAGCAATACTGATGGAAGGTGCTAGTATTAACCCAGTGACACACCTGGAAATTTAATCAGGGTAGCAGGAATTCAGATTCATAATTAGTTAGTTATTAGCCCCATCAGAGGGCAGGTCTTTCTAGTGGCTTTGTGCTATTCCTTCCTCCTCACTTCTGCATTTGTTCAGAGCTCCTTTAAGGGTTCTACATGCTCTCCAAAAAATGTGAATTACTCTTAACTAATACTGCGGTTGGTGTACTTAATATATCATGTCAGGTATAGGTATGACACCTCCCCTCCTTGTTCTTTTTGCCTGTAGCTTGTGCTGTTTATTTCCTGGAATAAATTGCCTTGAAGTGTTCAGAGCTGGATATGTTTTCTGCTCGTGTACTGAAGATCTCAGTCCATTCATTGTAGTTAATATTGTTCTTGCAAGGTGGTCTCTCCATACCATCTTCCTTCTGTGTGCTTCCCCAGCTGGTGTCTGGTGTTCTGCCCAACTGAAGTCCATTCAAAACAGCTCTGTATGAGTCATCACTGTCCCCAGATCTCCTACTTTGAAGGAGATGCACCATGTCCCAGACAGCCTCTTACTCTGCATCCATTCCTAAGGAACTACCTGAAGCTCAGTCTGATTTTCAGCCTGGTTTGTCTTGTCTGGTGCTTGCCATTCATTGTTCACTGAATTCTGGAGGTCAGGAAAACATATGCAGCATAAACCACCTTGTCTCAAGTATGTTTCCAGGGACTTACCCGTAGCAGTAACCAATTCTGCCTCCTCTTCCCCTCTCCACTTAAACTAGAGAAGACAGCAACTAAAAATAATATTTTATAGATGTGGGTATATATATGTATATATGTGTGTATATATATATATATATAATCTAGATTGTAGCAAGGTCAAATGTAATTTCCTTTTAAATAAAGACTGCCATTTAATGTAATATTATAGAAAATGATTAGATCTTAAAACCCTATAAATTACATTTGACAACTCTCTGGTGCTCCTTTGCTATTCCTTATGGCAATTATAAATGGCAACACAGCATGCTGGCAGAAATGCTCATTCTGACTGGAGTTTGTTTATTGTCTCTTAATGAAAAGTGATTAATCTAAATCACTTACCAGGGTGGATCCTTTGTCCTGCTCCAATAATGAGAAGAGGTGGTTTCAGGCCTTTGACAAATGTCTTGCTATTTCCCCTGCTAAAAGTCCTCCTCCCTCTGTAGCTTCCAGGAAAAAAACAAAGCCCAGAGTCTCTCACTCTTCTTTTCTGGCTTGCCACGTAACAAACCTCGGTGCCAGTCCTAGCTGCATGGCTGCTGGTGGTCTTTTGTTTTTCACTCTGATTGAGCCTCCTGTTTCTTCCATCCTGCTCTGTGTAGGATCAGCCTTGCCTAAGAGGATAGATGACAACAGAGATGTTGATATGTTCATTCCTCCATTTGAAGAATGGAGAGTTGATATTGGAACTGGGTGAAGGTGGCAGGGGCAGTGTGTGACTTATGTGGTGTCACTTACCACTAGGTATGACTATTAGACTCTTCCCCCTTTCCTAGCTTGATGGTTGTATTATCTGATCTTCAACCACTGTTACACAACCAGAACAAACTGCCCAGCTTTGTGAACCATCTGGTGGAAATACCACCTCTTCTGTCTCATCTGACCCGTTTCCTGAACTATCCACTGAAGTGTTGCAGATCACATATGAAAGGGCAGAGTGGATGTTTTGCGTGTGTATCACTTCAGGTTCATGCCACTGTTAGCTGTCTTGTGCTCCTTATTTGGGGGCAGAAATCCAACAGTGACCTTTGAATATACAGCACTGTTAGCTTCATAGCCTTTTATGACATCAGGTGGAAAATATTTTTATTTCTGAAGTATGTTTTATTTTAAAGATTTCTCTGGATTATCTTGTTATATGGGCAACCTTACATCCTTCATCCATTCTGCAGAAGCAAGTGGTTTTTACTGAGCTATGTTACAGTTCTCTTATAAGCAATATGCTTTAGATGATGAGGGGTATGCTTGGGGAACAAAATGTCCTTTCAGTCTAAGTCACAAGTGACAGAAAAAAATATCTTGAAGTAGTGATGAACCCATTACTGTTTGGGGAAAAATGAAATAGATATTTTGATCTGATTAAAAAGAAGAAATGTACCAAAGCTTCCTTCTAGGTGGAAACCTTTGAGACCTATTCTCAAGGCTAATTCCCAGGGTGTCAGTTGCCTATGGGAATGTTTCTAAATCCCCAGACTGTGCACCAGGGCACAATGCAAGTGCACATCTTCAGGACTTGTGTGGCTTCCTGTGGGAATGTGTGGAGATTGTCTTTTGGGGCTGGGAAGTGATATATGTGAGGGATGTTGAAGGAGCTTTCAGCTCAAGCTGGATTCATAGAGATGGCTTTACCCTGGGAAAATATTCAGTTCTAGTTCAGCTTTTCATTTCTTAATGGAAAGCATCAGAAACCATTTATGTTATATTCACTTTCCCTTGGTGACTTCGCAGAGTTAATGAGGTGCTTAAGATTAAACAAGCACTGAATTTTTTTTGCTTGATCAACGTCTAGCATACCAAGGGTCTCACCATTCCTTGTAACTGATTTTTGCTGTCGAAATTAATGTGTTTCCCTATCGCAGTCTTGAAGATGGAGCTCTGTGAAGCTGGATAGGAAAAGTTACCATGGACATGAGAGTGTAACAAAACTGCAGCAGATCTCAGCTAGCTGATCATTCTACAGTGAGCTAAAAAAGGCCATTCCTGCATCTGTTTTCCTGCGGAAAGACAGTTTCTATATTTGATTCAGCTGCTGTATCAATAACCTCCTGCATTTAGAACAGTTCTAATTTATTTCCCACTGTTTGCCTTTATTTTATGGTACTGGCATTTGCTTTAATGTGAAGTCGTTTTCTCCAGATGTTAATGAGATGGTGTTAATGTTTCCACAACATTTTTCTTGATAACGTTTATGTAGGGCATGCTGTCTGATAGTGTGGAATCAACCCATTTTAAAATATTGGTAATAATTTTCTAATTAAAATTAGAGGCTCGGAAGTGTTTTCCTCTCTGTACAAATTGAGGTCATACACTTTCCTATGCTTGGTGAAAATTATGTTTGCACTGAGTGAATTAATATCTCTTACTGAACAAATTGGAAGTGTGATATATGAGATCATGTATCAGTGTTTGCTCATGTGCACATGGACTATCTTCAGATGCCAGCAGCTGATCCAGGTAAGTATTCTGTATTTCCAGTGAGGTGATACTTTCACTCATAGCTTGCAAGCTGCCAAATAATGAGCCTTAAATCTCAGGAGTGCTCTGTTTACTTCTGGGGAGAGGATTCCACGTCTGGTAAAGAGAGGTGGTAGGGTAAAGTGTACAGGAAAGCCTGGTGTGGCTGTCTGAAGTTGTTCTATGCAACAAAAATCAGCTTTGATACCAACACAGCATTTTTCATTCTTGCAGAGCTTTCTGATTTTATCTGGATAAAATTAAAATGAAAAAAGTGAATTGCCAAAAAGAAAAAAGAGAAACTGAAACACTAAAAAACATCCTATTTGGGAAATTCTATGGGCTGTTACACTGCTGAGTGATGTTCTGAATGCATCTAATAGGAGTCAATGTTGTATGACCTCACTTTTAAATGATGTTCAGTTTCACTTTTCCATTAACACTCTTTTCTCTCCATTTTTCTATTTAGATCATGCTGCTTAGTGATCCAGAGATTGAGAGCAGCATCCTCATCAGCTCTGATGAAGGGGCTACCTACCAGAAGTACCGTTTGAACTTCTATATCCAGAGTTTGCTCTTCCACCCCAAGCAGGAGGAGTGGATCTTGGCCTACAGTCTGGATCAAAAGGTGAGCAACTGATTTCATGTTTCACTGATTATGAACCAGGAGTTGAAGGGAATGGTGTCTAGTTTTGTGCACTTTCACAGATGATGTGAAGAAATTATGGTGTGCTTAGCTGTTCCTGCTTTGCAGGTTTAACTGTACTCAAAAGCCACACAGTGAGTCCACAACAAGCTTGCTAAAGGGAGCTGAGTGTTACAGTGATCATGATGGGTGTGGAAACTTAGTAGTGTTGATGTTACAAAAGATGAAAAGAATTTGAGGTTTAACATGAGATATGGAGCTTTTCTAAAAATCTATTGATTTGTAGAACCTGATTGCTGAGCTGTCACTGAGGATGGAGCACTCTGGCTGAGCTGGTCTGTAATAGCTGTCTGTTGAGCCTTGAGGGGTGCTCATTCTGCTTGCAAACTGAACTTGGTTATCTGGAAATCAGGGAGTAGCAACAGATTGCAAACTTCTCTGTGCCACTTTTAAGTCACTCTGCAGTGCCTTCTGTTAGTGAGACAGCTCTTAAGTCAGTTACTTTGTCCTTAGGAAGTTAGCTCTTACATAACTCTCATCTGTCTTGAAAGGTGCAGAGCAGAGCACGTGTGATGTGATAGTAAAGTGCTGTGACTAAGGAGCTGTGTACTTCAGTTCTGGAGCAGCAGTCCCCACTGCAGCCCAAAGCTGCAGTGACATAGACCAGATGATCAAGTTGAAAAATTTAGAAAGCTTAAAACATGCCGAGCTTTTATCTTTCCTCTTTTATGTTTCTGTCATCCCTAGACTCTGGAAAGCAAAAACATGCTGAACAGCCACTAAGTTTTTCTCATTGTGATGGGTTGACCCTGGCTGGATGCCACATGCCCACCAAAGGTGCTCTATCACTCCCCTCCTCATCTGGACAGGGGACAGAAAATATAACCAAAAGTCTGTGGGTTGAGATAAGGGCAGGGAGAAATCACTCAGCAATTACTGTCACAGGCAAAACAATCTCAGCTTGGGAAAATTAATGGAATTTGTTACCTAGCAAATCAGAGTAGAGTAATGAGAAATAAAAACTAAATCTTAATACACCTTTCCAACACCCCTGCCTTCTTCCCAGGCCTGACTTCACTCACAATTTTCTCTGTCCTCTGTCCCCCGCAACACAGGGGGAAAGGGAATGGGGGCTATGGTCAGTTCATCACATGTTGTCTCCACTGCTCCTTCTTCCTCAGGGGGATGACTCCTCACATTCTTCCCCTGTTCCAGTATGAGGCCCCTCCCATAGGAGACAGTCCTCTGCAAACTTTTCCAGTGTGGGTCCTTCCCACAGGCTGCAGTTCTTCATGAACTGCTCCAGTGTGGATCCTTTCCATGGGATTCAGAAAACAGACTTCAGGAACAGACTGCATTAGTGTGGGCCTCCTGTGGGATCACAAGTCCTGCCAGCAAACCTGCATCCTCTTCTCTCCTTCTGTGGTTTGAGGGGTCAGCCTGGCTCAACATGGTCTTCACCAGGGACTGCAGGGGAATCTCTGCTCCAGCACCTAGAGCACCTCCTCCCCTGCCTTCTTCACTGACCTTGGTGTCTGCAGTGCTGTTTCCCTCACATATTCTCATTCCTTTCTGTCTGAAGTTGCCAGGTGCTTTTTTTTCCCCTCACTTCTTAAACATGTTACCCCAGAGGCACTACCTGGGCCAGTAGTGGGTCCTTCTTGGAGCTGGCTGGCATTTGCTCCTTGGACAGCTTCTAGCAGATTTTCTCAGAAGCCACCCCTATAGCCCCTTCCCTGCTAGCAGAACCTTTCCACACAAGCTAAATACATGCATTAATCTGTCAGGTATGGGTATGTGTTCTGGGTGGGATTTTCAATTTCTGCAGTTATTTTTGAAGTTTTCTAAACTAGTCAGTCTCACATCCCATCTGTAAGAACAATATAGCTAAAATATACTACCTCTGTATTTGACAGAATTTCCTTTGAAAGCCTAGTGCAAGTCTTTACCAAAGTAGCTCCTGAGAGAACGATCAAATAATCTCCTACCTCTCTGCTTCCCAATGCATCCTTTCCATCCACTTGTTAACAGAATGCTATGGCAGGCAGGTGGTTTGCTGCTATGCTACTGATGATGCTTGAGTGACATTTGCAAGAACAAAGCTATTGTAAATACACTCCTTTCGTAGTATCAAGTCCTTACTGTATGAAGGAGTTAGTCAAATGTCAGATAGTTTTTTACACTAAGATGTTCAATGTAACACGGATTTTGAAGTAGGCTAGAAAGACCAATCTGTTTATTTGATGTCACAGAACTGTTTGATGCCACTTTGCCACTTTTAAACTAGAGGTAAAGATTTTGCATCATACTGGTGTTTATACAAAGACGGCCTTGAAAGAAAGAGGCTCATGGATGTGAGAAGCCAGATGTGACATACTGAGTATGCGTTTGCCAAGAGATCCATCTGTAGTGAGTGCAGAGCATCTGCTCTTGGGTTAAAGCACTGTACTTCTATTTCCAGTGCTTTGTAGTGTTTTTATGATGTTAGCCACTGGAAGGAGAAATCAAAATACAAGGTATGCACATGCAGTTGACTGTAAGGTGGTAATTACATTCCCCTGGTCTGGTACAGCTTTAGTGGGCTAGGAGCACTTTTGCTTCTGCTCCTTCAAACTAATGCACCTGCATGCACACTTCAGCTGTTCTCTTTTGCTGGGAAGAGAGACGAGGAAAATGAACTGCAAGCTAAAAACATCCTGAAGCTGTTTTCATTTTTATCCCAGGAACTGAACAAAATTGTCCACAGTATAAGAGGAAAGATGAGGTGGCCTGCCTGCAGCTTGTTGGTCAAATGGTAATGGAGCAATGCAGAGTTCAGGCTTTTTCTTTACGTCTGCCTTTGCATTCAAAGCCACTTGTGATGCTTTTCTTCACTGTCTAGAAGGATGGCCTGAAGTACTGGTTGAAAATTACTCCTAGAGTGGAACCATGGAGCAGCACCTTTCCTAGTTGAAGCATTTGCTTAACATAACCCAGGTATAGACTGTGCTCAGCCACATCTTTGCTTAGTAAGAGTTGTAAAAGAACTGTCACTCTGGCTCAGGATCATGCAGCTTCACTGCATTTACAGCTGATACTGAGATAATGGACAGTGTTGTTAGAATGTGACTGCAGTGCTATGTGAAATCCCAGATGAAATATTCTGAGAGGTCAGTGTAATACATTCCTGCATGTCTGGAAACAGGAGTACTGCCACAGTGGAGTGGGAGCCAGAGGTCAGCTATGTTAGGTTAGGCCAATGCAAGAAGAAAGTGTCTTTTAGGCTAGAAGTCCTATATACATAAGATTCATCAGGTCTTTTGCATCTTCATACAACTGTTGTGGTTGTTCTCCTCTCTTTTTCTCTAGGAGCCAGATCTGGATCTCACACGTTCCCACACTGCTGTTGCATACCTTCTCTCCTGGCTGTGGTTATGGGATCATGCCAGTGGGGCCATTTGATCTCTCTGCTGCTCACCAGAAAAGAGATATCAAAAGCTCCTAAAATAAGTGATTAGAGAGGCTGCAGTAATGCTCTGCAGGTGGGACGAGGCTGTCCAAAAGGATGCCATGCTGTCAGGGGCTAATTGTCCACCTGCAGCCTAGTTCTGCTGGTACTCCTGTCCTTTATTTTTGTGCCCATTTTCCCATGAGGCAGCATGAAGTCACCTGGCACAAAATAGGTGGAGCTGGATCAAATAGTGCTTGATTTCTCACTTCATGTGTCCTGTTTTTTGGGTTACAACTGATTTGATTTGATGCATGAGAGGGCAATAAAATAGAAAGTTCATCATTAGTCTGTAACCTGCAGGTAATATTCATCCACAGATACTGTGACAAAGAAGGTGCTGATCAAAGTCAGTGACTTGCTGTATGCTCAGTGGTGCAACCACTGCTATAGTGGGAGACTATACTTTTCCATATCTCTAAGCTTTAAAAGTGTGTTTGGCCCTTAAACTCTATTTTAACGATTACTTTAAAGGCAGATTTAAAAATTCAAATAACTCTGAAAACAAATCAAGTACATTTTGACTCCCAGCAGCAGAAACTATTAAGATCTAATCCATTCCCTCATAACTGTGAATGTGCAAACAAGTCGGCCAATTTAATTTAATTTCTTAGATTAAAATACATATTTCAGATTCATATTTATCTCATTAGATTTCTTTTAAAATAATAAAAGTATGGTGTCATAAGCAGGCTGGGGTCAACTTGGTAGTTAATGAGAATGATGAATCTGAAAATCCATTTTGCCTAGTATGTTGTTCTACACAGTAAAATGAAATATCAACAGCTAGTGCCCTACAAATAATGGGTTTGGTCACTGCCTAGATCTAAAGATTTTAAAATAGTTTTGTGTATGGCAATAGAAAACCATATCAAAGTTTTTGAGTGAAATAAAAATAGTCAGTGTTGTAGATCTTCCCATTAGAAAGTTTTCCCGTAAGGTCTTCTGACCTACAGTTCCATGGCTATGATTCAAGCTTCTTTCCTAATGATTGTTTTATTCTAAGTATCCCTTCTTCTTTTTAGCTAACTTCTACACATTTGACAACAATATTAAGCTATTTATCCAGCTGATGAAAAAACCAACCAACCAACTTAAAAAAACTAACACATTGTGAATTCTATCCTCTTAACAGAATTATTTTCTGTTCCAAGTTGGTGTTTTAGAAGGTGTATTTCTTATTCCAAGACCACCTTTTTTAAGAGAAGGAGCCCATCTCTTCTCAACTTCTCTGTGAAATATAACTTCATAGCTGAGAAAGCCAAAGACTGAAATAATTGAATGCAACAACAGTTTGGTCACAAAATCATAGGATCACAGAATATTTAGAGTTGGAAGGGACCCACAAGGGTCATCTAATCTAACTCCTGGCCCTGCATTAGGGCCTCCCCAAGAATCACACCATGTACCTGAGAGCATTGTCCAAGCACTTCTTGAACTCTGCCAGGCTTGGTGCTGTGACCGCTTCCCTGGTCTGAGAGAAGAGCATTTTTCT